TTTTTTTTGTCTTTTTTTTTTTGTTTCAAACTTATAAAGTTTAGTGTTTATACTACGTTAAATACATTAAGCTGAATTACGTTTGCTCAGTACTAAACTGTACGCTGTAATGGGAAAAATGCATATTTGAAACGAGTTACCTGCGTAAATCGTTAATTTTTTCGACTCCGGTAGCTAGACGTCTTCGAGAATTAACATTTCTCTTCGTTATTCTAGGTGCCGGTAGTTCGGGCAGCTTTGCCAAGCGTTGCACGATGTCCGATACTCATTATTGCAGTTATCTTCAAGCTTGTGGGCTTTTAAGACGACATGTCAGTGTAGTAAGTATAAATTGTCGATTTGCTTATGTGATAATTTAAATCAATTTGCGCCACCTTTGCTATTAGCATCCTAATAACAAGGCAATAATCAGTTTGTACTTAATCGTTTAATAATTGACAATACTCAAACATCCCAGTAGGGTATATTTTAGTGTATATTTGGTTGATAAATTCGCTGCAATGTTGTGACATTTCTTAGAGCTAAGTCCTTTTTATTCGATCGCTGGTAGATCGAACAGATTGAGTATGAGGGGAAGCAAGGAAGGCTGGATAAAAAGGAAGGCTACTTAAGTGTGCCGTTAATCTTTCCACTTTTAATAGTTAAACAGTTAAGTTAAAGTGGTAGAAAAAGGCTAAAATACTTTTATTAAACGAGCCTTTTTGACAAATTTTCCCCCATTTGGTAAATAAAAAAGAATGAAGGGGGTTGCATAACAGCTGACTTTTTTGTAGATTTGAACGCAAGTTGTAATTTCATTGCAAATTTCTTCTCGAGGTACGTGTCCGTAAAATTTGATACTCCTTGAGGGAGCCCCGCGCCATTTTTTTTTTTTTCTATTTTGCTTTTCCTTCGAGCTTTTTCTTGTTCTGGTAGGAACATGAAATTGACAGATAATGAGGTATTTAGAATACGTAACAAGGGTAACCAAGGGGCTACGACAAATACCGTTACAGGCCCGTAACCAGGAGGGGTGCACGGGGTGCGTTCGCACCCTCCCCACAGGCCCTAAAGGTCCGCATTTTGATACTCAATATCCAAGTTAAGGAGTGCAGTCGGTTAAACTGAAGTTTCAAACTTAACAGTGACATTTAAACAAAATCAAAGAATGGAAAAAGCAGTAGTGTATTCACTGGGAAAGTAAAAGCAGCTGCACTCTAGTAGCCCGAGTCATTCAGAACATTTCAATGAGCGCACAGATGTCCGAACTTATCTAAATGAATAATGAATCGAAATTAACGTGCGTATGCGTAAGGAGTTAGCCTCCCCGCAGACGTCGTTTGGGGTTCGTTTGTCACGCATTAGGGAACTTAAGATCCACGACGAAGTTCACGACGACGACGTCTGTTGACTGAGAAAAGACTGGAACGAGAACGTCGGTTTCGGCGGGAAAAGGGAAAGTTAAGATGCGGTCGGTCGGTAGGTCGACGACGACGACACTGAATGTAAACACAGATGTAAAACTGTGATGTTCGTTCTCAACAAAGTTTTTCGCAATGGCGTCTTTCAAAACAACGCAAGATCTTATTTGTTCAAGCCGTACGTCTAATTGCATTGACGATGAAAAATTTTTTGTGTTGTCTCACCTTTTCGAGAGGAACTGACACCTAGTTTCCGTACGAAATTATTCAACTTTCAACTTGAATGAGATTGCCGAGTCCGAGTGTCCGTCAGAGTTTAGATTTCGAAAAAGAGACATTCTGATGTGATAGCTGTTTTCCATATAAAGTTTATTTCCTCTATATTAAAGATAAATGATTTGCCTTACCTAAATACGTACAAATAAATTTATCACAATTCACATACAAGTTCGCTCGCTCGGCCTTCTCAGCTGTTGCCATTCTTCAAAGTAAAATCAATTCATTAGTCGAATTTTCAATCAACATCGCTTGTTTGGAGAAAAAAGGAACGATACCTGGATTTAGGAGGACAAAAAAATGCAAAGGCCTTCAAAAATCGCTTAAAACAGTGGATTTATACCTGCCGAAGCTTGTGGATTGCAGGACGACGTGATTCTACTTTGTTTGGCGTCGTCGACGACACCACGACGACGAAATTTACTAGTCGCGCTTGCGCAGTACAGTGTAACTCACTTCCGGTCGTCGTCGACCAAGCCGTCGTCGTGGTTCTTAAGTTCCCTATTCATTTCTCCCCCACGGACGTCTGCTAAACAGAGCCGACTTTTACGTTCTGGATTGTTTGAATAAGCCAATAAGCGGTTAGTTATTGTGTCACGATCAGCCGATCACGCGCCGTGATATAAGTGATGTCTCTGGTATTCTCAAGTGAATTATTTATTTGCACGGCTATCTTCTACATGAGACTACTCAAACGTTTTGAAGAAATCACAGAAACGATGCAATAAAGCTGCAGTCAGCTGTATATTTTTTTCGGAAGTTGTGACTGTAAAATAGTCGGCTTTTCTTTGAAAGACTTCAAACAACAGTCTCCCACACGAGCGCGGAGCGGTTTTCAGCGCGGTCGAAAACAATAATTACTATTAACTCTGTATATATTCGAAGTATTAAGAAAAGAGAACTTGTAAACGTGTATAGGGAAGATATTCAAAGCATTCTTCGAAAACAAAGGCCGTTTCCTTTTTTGCGAAATGTAATTCCACCAAGGTCATGGGTTGCGAACCAAGCACCAGTACGCAAAATTTGGTTATATTTTTTCAAGAGTCGGTAAAACAAAAAATTCGAAGTCTATAGCAATGTGCTTCCAACGGCAGAAAAACGTTTATCTGAAAACTTGTTCTACAAAAAGGCACGTCCTCCCATTGCGTTTTATTTATTCACAAGCTAAGTAAACATGACCACGGTGCCGCCGAGTCCAAACTTCAAGCTAGAACGACAAATTAACCTACCTGTCAACAAACTTTAATCTCGCTCCTTCAAAGAAAGAAAGAATGCTTATAATCAATAAATCATTGAACCTTTCATTGTTCATTGTATTTTACTTCTCGACGAAATATTTAATCATGCTCGGGAAAGTCGCAGACCAAGGACCACATAGTAACTGTACAAGTCACTCGCTAACATTTCCTCCACCGATCGATCTTCAACCAAGCTTCTGGGCTTCCGTAAACAACAGAGAAAGTCCCTCTATCGACAACCCTCATATTCTCTTTGCTAATATCAGTGAGCGTTACAGCAGGAATACCAATATTTTCCAGCTTTGTAGATTGATCTTTCAAGATTTACCAGGGGAGAAACAACATCAACAGTAATGTCCAGTAGTTCCACGCAATATGTCGCAAACAAGCAGCAAAGCTTGAGAGATAAGGGATTTGCCAAGTCCCGTCGGCAAATTTATGAACTCATCGGTTTTCGCTATAACATTTGCAGGATAGCTTCTCTCTGATACTTGTTTAACTCTGTATTAATTACAAATTTCTAGCACACTCGATCAAAAGCCTCACTGATCGTGCGAATCTTAAGAAGCGGCTCGGGTTACGTTTTACAAAAATCCGTAAACGGCCTGTGATTGGTGAACGTAAAAGTCGGGTCTGTTTAGCAGACGTCCGTGGGGGAGAAATGAATGCGTGACAAACGAACCCCAAAGGACTTCTGCGGGGAGGCTAGTGAGGAGTGCGATGATGATCTCTTTCCAAATATATGTGCTCTCCTCAAGATATGCGCCACAATCCCTGCAATGAGCTGTGAATGTGAAAGAAGTGCGAGTTCTTTAAGGCGGCTGCATACATATAACAGAGCATGCATGGGCCAGGAAAGGCTGTCGTCCTTCGTACTAATGCACATACATTATCAAACTAAAATTGTTTTGGATGAGGTGGTAAATCTGTTTGCCACCAAACACCCACGGAGGCTGGAGCTCGGGACTATTCTGAGGGATTAGTTCCGCAGTGTTTTGATGTATCATTATTTTTACATCGTAAAATTACTCCTCTATAACTTAATTCAAACAGTTGTATTCGACAAATGTACTATTCAGTTCCTACCATGTACTTTGCCGTTACAATTTCTCATGTATTGCTACTTCCCTAAATAAACGGATCAGACAATAAAAAATACATTTCGGTAGTTTGGTCCACTTTGGCCTCGTTAGCACCCCCCCCCCCCACATAAAATCCTGGTTACGGGCCTGCGTTAAATACCGTTTATAAGCCCTTGGATTATACAGTTCTGATAAGGGGTTTTAGGAGGCTTACAAAAGAGGGCGCTTTTAACCGGCTTAAAAAAGCGTTTACAAAACAAGCTACATAGCAGTGCTGATCAACGTACTTTTTGCATTTACCCGCTTTTTTGAGCTTCAAAAGGTCGTAAAAAAAAATCGTGTCATCAATTGTGCCATTTATATAGATCCAGCTTTCTTTACCTTTCCTCTTCTTAGTCTTCCTAGTTATAAATTTCTTTATGTTTTCGTCTGCCCGCCTAGTAGCCAAGCTATTTGCGAGCACAGGATGTTTGTGTGTATATATTTGTTTTAATTTGAATTAATTAAATTTGTAACTTATGAACAAGATATTAAATAAACTTCAACTTCAAAATCCGAATTCGCTTCAATACAAGCTAGATGGGGGCTAATCCGGGGGATGGGGTTTTTTGGTTACGGGTAGATGGGTCTATAACTGGGGTGGGGGGCTATAAATGGGAAAACTTCTAATTGGAAGTTTACGGTATGTCTCCAAAATGACACTTGGCCTAGTGCTTAAGTTCCCCAGTTTTTACTCAACAACTTGTCTATAATTCGCAGGAACGCGTAAAGATTCCTAGTACGTATCTAGAAGAAGTTCTAATCTGGATTCTTTTGCAAAAAAAGAAGAGATAAGGTTGACACTGGATTGAGCGCCTCAGCTAGGTTAAGATAAATCATTTCCTTATTGCTATATCATTATTAATAATGACATGCGTAGTTTTCGCACACACAACGTCCTCGACATGAAATCCCTTTTGTACACTCCAGAGTTCCTCAAGTCATACTGAAGGACCTGATACCGTTCATCCTCTTGCACAGTAGCGATACCGCCCTTCAGGTGACGGGTTTAACTCATACACATAAAACCCTTGACACTCCCTCACGCGTATCTCAACTATCCTATAACAACAGTTTTTCCATCCATGGAAGCAAGCTTTTCTGTCCACGATGCCATCTTTAAAGGTGGGGTGGCCACCTTTTAACCACCCAGTTATATCTGTAGTGCATCTGTGGACCTGAATACAATTATCTACCATTCTTGAGTATGAACTTGATTGGAAGCGATACCAGCCGGGGACAAGATTGCTGTCTGAGTTAGTGCCTCGGCCAAAAGACTGGTGACGATTGGGTTGACTGAGGACGTTATAGTCCCGGCACTCTGGTGCATCTGAATTAACAAAAAAGTAAAAGAGTTCCGCTATTTTGTATTCACATACAACACAAAGCCGAGGTGAACAGCTCTAACTAGAAGCTTGGGTATCTAACAATTTGAGCTGGTTGTTAGTTGTTGTTGTTGTAACTATTTAACAATTATTCCTCGAGCCCGAATGGGCTCTGAGTCAATAGCCCATGAGGCCGAAGGCCGAAAGGGCTATTGACTCAGAGGCCACGAGGGGGAGAGGAATAATTGTCTTAAATCCAACTAGTTGGTCAAAATATCGCGAATAAAAAACTTTTAGCTAGTTACAGCTAGACTTTAATCCTTTTTTGCCGCCAAAAAGCCCGCGCTTTTCGCCACTAGATATAGTGGGATGTAACATATGCCTAGTAGTAGCTCAACCAATCAGAACGCAGCATTGATAATAGAGCACTAGTTGGATTTTACTAAATCTTAATAGCTTGTTCATATCTCGAAAAGGTGCTTTTGTTAACTTGAAGTAATTTTACGTTAACTTACAGATTTCACACTCATCGCCAAAATATCCAGGAAGACAAGTGCAACTATACGTTCCCTCTCTGAACGAAATGAGGGAGCACAAATTTAAGTAATCAGACAAAACCGCCAAGATCGTATTAAACCTTTGTCATACTGCAGACTAAAAAGTTTCTTTTTCTGTTGAACGCCTGATTAGTACGTTAGTTAATTAGCTGTATGATATAAGCAGTTTCTTATTTTGGGCTGCATGATCTGATGATGGAGTCTTAATTTCTGCGACCACAATTACATAAATTAAGCAGATGTAACACTGCAATAATACTTCACACTAACGTATATCAAGAGAATTACGTGGACTCTGTAGAAGTCTTGAAGGAACTAATTCTCCGCTTTTCTAAGATGGACGGTAGCGTATTTCGGGCACTGACTTGCTATGTGATATACTGACAGTACCATTTTCGGTAACCTTGAATTACAGCAAAGCGGTATTTCTTAGTCTGTGGGCTTCTTATGCTATGGGAGTGAGTAATCAGTTGCCGAGGCTTTCGCGGTATTGTGGAGTCTTAAGAATGTTGTTTTTCCGGCACGAGCTGAATATACTCCACACTAGAAAAAATTAGACACCCGCATTAAAAAAACCGTGAATTTTATGCGGGTGTCTACTTTATTCCGCTGCTCTGAAGGAAGGTTAACTTCCTCGCTCGTTTCCTGTCACCTGACTCCAGGGAGTTAGAACACCTGCTCCAATAAGTCAGGATTGACGCTCTTCTGAATAAGAGAAATTTCGTATCTCCGCGCGGCCATGTAATATCCTCTATCTACGAACAAATTTCAAAACTAGCGTACTCATGCTTATAATGCCTATAACTTGATTTTCATTCTGAAAGAACACGTTACTACGAGGACTTTTTCGAAACAATTATGAGCCTTGAACGAAAAGGATTGTTTTTTTAGAAATTTTCCTTAATTACTTTGGCAGTCTCATATGGGACTTCATGAGACATTCAGGAACTAAAAGGAACGAGATTTTATGCCTGCTTATCCCTTTCTTATGGTCGCCAGTGTTGTTCAACTGAAAATCTACTTGCAGCGTATCTTACTGGATTCGGTCTCGAGGAATAATTGTTAAGTATTTTATATAATAGCTCATTCATAAAGGATGCTGATGTGCCGTAGATTGTATATGTAGGGCTTACATGAGGTAGTAACCCAACGCTGGTAAATTTAATTGCTACACTGCTAGAAGGCGATCAGGATTGTCACGTGACTGCAAGCACCTGGGATTTTGGCGTCTTATTCGTAAAAACTCGTAGATGCCCTAAATTACTCTCACCAGCCAGCATGGTGAGTTATCTAGTTCACAAAACAAACATTGATTACACTTTTAGAAAAGAAGGAAAAAGATAGAAGATTTCTTAAAATTGAAGACCAATTTCAATGGTTAATGTGGATGTGAAAATTGCGTCCAAGGCTATCGCAAGACGATTAGGAGCAGTAATGTCATTACTTATTCCCGCCAATCAAAACGGTCTCATAAAAGGACGGTCAATTTTAGACGCGGTACGCACAATCGATGACGTTCTTGAGATCGGCAAAATAATGATGCAGAACGAATCCAGCATTCTACTTTCAATTGATTTTGAAAAGGCTTTCGATTCGCTGAACCACGAATTTTTATATCGGGTTTTACAGAAAATGGGGTTTGCACCAAATTTTCTTCAGTGGATTGGGACTTTCTATAGGAACTTGTCAGGTTGTGTACTGAATAATGGCTTTACAACTGATATCTTTTCAGTTAAACGTGGGGTAAGACAGGGTGATCCTCTCTCTCCTTCACTGTAAATTCTTGCGTTGGAAACGCTTTTATGTCAAATTCAAGACAAAAAATATTAAAGGCTTTTTAATTAATGGGAAAGAAATCAAAACGACTCTTTTTGCCGACGATATGACCTGCTTCTTGAGAGATACCAATTCATACTTTCAACTTCAGACATCTTTACAATATTTTGCCAGATACTCCTGCACAGGCCTTCGTGTAAATGATGAAAAAACAGAAATTTTTGCTATTGGTCTGCACAGTCTTGTTCAAGATGTTCTTACTCACAAAATAGATAATATGATAAAAATATCGGGAGTTTATTTTAATTATGATACCCCAGCTAGATTAAAGGTCAACTGTGAGTCCATCTTTATATCAATCCAGGGAACTTTAAATAGCTGGAAAAGTAGGGGCCTTACCCTGATAAGAAAAATTCAGAATGTATTAAGTCTTTTATTATCCCGAAATTTCCCAGCAAAGCAGCGTTGATCTCATTACCTAAAGACCACGTTAAAGAAGTCAACAAGTTGATTTATCACTTTTTTTGGAAAGGAAATGATAAAATCAAACGATCTGCCCTAATAAATGATATTAATTATGGTGGTTTGAAAATGTTAGATATTCATTCAATGATTTGCGCACAGAGAGTAATGGTATTAAAAAAATACGCAGACGAGGAATACCATAGCTCTTGGAAAATAACCCTGGATTATTTCCTGTCTGGTGTAGGGGGTATGTTCATCCTCCACTGTAATTTCGATACAAAAAAACTCGCAATTTACCTTCCGCCTTTTTATAAAGAATGTCTGGATGCCTGGTCTCGGCTAAATAAACAAAATATTCTTTCATACGAGGACGTTGCGAACCAAGTAATTTGGAACAATAAACACATTATCATCAGGAAGCATTCGGGTAGCTAACGCTTTCGGATGAGACGAAAAAGTCGCCTAAACCTTTTACGTGACGACCAAAGTTCGCTTAATCGGAACAGATAAATTGTTTTTAGGGCAACTCCAAATTAACCAATCAGGCTTCTGAAACATAGAGAAAAATCATCTGAGACACTTCTGGCGTATTTGGAAACATTCGGTCGTTGGGTGCCGCCTGAAAATCTCTTTACCATGCATTCAAAATGGCGAAACAAACTCCTCCATCTGCTCAAAAGAGGTTTCAAGATCAATTTCCTGAAGTTCAATTTGATTGGAACGAAACATATTCGCTCTCCCTTAAAGTGTCGCTATAGAAACAAAAATAGAGAATGCCAATATGGTTTTGAACAACATTGTTTCCACGAATTAAAAGTTATCTAAAATTAAGATGATTGATTCGCCACAATGTACCTTTTGTAAAAACGATATTGAATCCCTTGAGCATCTGTTTTACAGTTGCGAAATAACAAGATCCTTCTGGGTAGTACTCCGTTCTTGGCTTATAGAATGTAATATCAATTGGAACCCGGCCTTTGTCGTTTTTTAACGTCTTATTTGGCATATTCAACGCGGGAAAAGATTTTGTCATTGTAAACAATCTTATTTTACTGGCAAAGTTTTACATTTATCGCTGTAAATTAAATGGTGTTAAACCAGCAATGCGGGTCTTAAAAACAAAAATCGGAAGAATACACAATATAGAAGGTAGAATAGCATTTATGTGGAATAAGGTGGGTGGAATTCCATGACAAAAAATGGGAAAAAACCAAATGTTGTCTCAATTGAGTCTATTTCTCCCCGTTTTTCTCCCTGTCTGTTATTGCTGCGGAGCGACCGAAGGGAGCGAGCAGCAACATAATCAGGAATTAAAGATAATATATAAGGGGCGACGAATTCTCGAATTCATCACATTTTACCACAATGCATTGCATTTAACCACACTTTTTACCACAATGCATTGCATTTAACCAGAGTGCATTGCGCCACGAACAACTCAATATAAAACGCGGGGAAGTTCGGTGGGTGAGAGAGTGCATCGTTTGCCGGCTCAGACTCAGAGTTTTCTTTGTGGCAAATTTTCTACAGCACGGTTAGAGGTCTTACCAAATTTTAAGACACGCAGGAGTCTTTCAGGTGAGTACGATGGTTAACTTGGGGATTGGATTTCAATTCAAGAGCCTTTGACTCGTCCAGGTGTTAAACCTGACGAGAAGATGAGCATTTGCTCTTCGACTCCGCAACACGGGGGGATATACAAATTCCAGCTTGCTAGAAGGTGATGTGATAGTGAGAAAATGTCATGCAGTGCTATTCAAGAAACTGTTTGAGCCGAAAGTGGATGTGATTTTGACCATTCGCTTCAAAATAACAGCGGAAATCGAGATAACAATCATATGT